TATGTAATGAATAATGATACAATTATTTTGAAGCTTAAGTTGAAAAGGGGCCCACTAAGAGTATGTTGTCCCGGGGCCCAATTGATCCTTAATCCGGGCTTGTCTAACGTGTTTAATAATTTATAATAAATAATATTCAAATAGAAAATTTACTTTCGGGTTGTTTGAGACATTCGTTTGATTCTTCACGATTTGCTATGCATGTTTCAGGCGTAGGATCATTTAACACTTGCTTATTAAAAATATGTGATTCTTGTGGGTTATTCATTTCTTTAACACAAATGTTAGAATTCTGATGGAAGAAAAATTCAGTTATGAATTTAAGTACAGGTATAAAAGTATTTCAAATCATGTACAGTAAAGCGGATGAATGTAATTTAAATTGCAATCATGTATGATAACGTTAACCAGCTTAAAGTCACATAAATTGCTTCATTATAAAAATATTTCTTTAAATTTTATTCTCAACGTTTTTAAAATGTAACATAGTCAAACATAAAATCAATATTTGCAGTTTAAATAACAATACATTTCTTACCATTAGCAGATACTATAGTTAAAGGCAACAGCACGGTTCGTCCAATAGTAAAAAAATAAGTTATACTTATTAAGTGTTTTTAAATTACAATTATTTTATTGATTTAAATTTTCGTCGTTATAGAATCAGAATCTTGTATATTTTAAATGGTTATAACAATATTATGTATACATAAAGGTAAGTTTAATTACATTAAAAATTCTAAGAAGAAATCCAAATACCTTTGACTTCTTATTATTTAGTCATTGCTTCACGCATTTAAGTCATTTGATATTCAGGCATTCGGCCATTTGAATACCTAAATAGTCAGCAAATAGCTATTTACAAAATACCAAAAATAATTCAAATTCATTATCAATTATCATTAACAATATTATACACGAATTCTTAACTCAAAATAATTTGCTAATTTTCGTCATTTTTCCATATTTAGTAAATTTTTGAACTTTAAATGCTTATAAAAAAAAACTGTAATAATGCTTTTTAATTGTTATTGTAAAAACATAGTAAGAGCCTTGTATTAAATTTTCAAGTATTTTTACTCAACAAATAAAGTTTTATTGACATTAATAGAAAAAAAGACTAATAAAATTGGAAACTGAAAATGTTTCTAAACAGTTCAAAACAAATCAAAAAATTTTGAAAATTTTCTGATATATGGAAAATGAAAATATAAGCAACCAGTGAAAATTACATGTACCTATATACGTTCATTTGTTTAAGAGTAACAACAAAAACCAAAATCGATTTTTTGGAAATCCGATTTTGCCTAAAAATTCCTGTTTTTCCTTAATTTTTATGTTGTTTTTCCCGGTGCTTGCGAAAACTATTGGGAATTTTAAAATTTGACCTCCCGAATGCACCAACTAGATTCACTTTCCCATCGAACAAGATACTGTTGAAGAAAATCGAAGCAGTTTTACTGCCCCAAACCGTGATGACATATACATGCAGTTAAGATAGAAATAGATTTAAGGATGTAATTTTTACTTAGGACAATCATGGTGGCGTAAAATTCAAGATCTAAAATTGTTCTTTTATTATAGAAATGATAGTTGTGAAATTGGTAGATTTTTAAAGTGCATATTATATTTGAATTTCCATTTTTAACACCAGATAAAGTAGGTAGGTGATTTTTTTTCTAATCTGATGGGAATCAATAAACCAGTTGCGATGGAAAATTAGATTTTTTTTTGGATTACTTACTTGATAGGTAATTATATATTTCACATTTTCACCTGGATCTACTTTTCCACCTCGTATATGGGCTGAATTTTCACGTAGAACTTTACGTACCACAAATAACTGTAATGGAATATTTAATAACGCCCACCCACAATATTTATCAGTTTGTAGAGGCTTTAAAATATATTCATCAAGAATCCTACATAAAATAATAAGAAGCACTATAGAACAAAGGAAACTTATATGTTATATATTAGCTAAAGAAGATTATATTAAATAAAAATTGTATGATTACTGTTCAAGTAATAAGTCAACTATCACGATTGGAATTTGTAAAAAAATATCCACCCCAATTTCAAATTTATAAAAGTTTATTTCTTTTGACTATAGGTTATGAATATTATTAATATTATTAATATGACAGTTTGATTTGACTATTTTATATTTACTACATTTTTTGTTATTTTATATGAGGCCTTCAGTGACTAACCCAAAGATTTTTCATTTTGAGTTAATGACATTAACGGCAACCTTAACCCATACAATTCGATGCAAATATGGGTCTAAGCCACCTTTACTTAATATTCACCAGACGGCGAAACCTAACTCGTTAATGCATTTTAATATTATAAATAATTTTAAGTGCAAGAATGGACTATAGTGGGTTAGTCCATTTATATTTTGATTTTAGGTTAGTCCGTTATTGCACTGAAGGCCTTATATCGATGGTGTAGCGCACAAGTGTGATAAGTGACATTTTCGTAATTGTTCAGGAGAACGATTTTTAAGTTTGAGATGTTATAACAAATTCAAAAATGTAACGAACTGTACAACATCTATCGGAGTAAATAATGAACTATTCACTTACAACGTTTGGGCATAATGTGCAGAATTGTATGATTAAATTGATTATGCACTTAACTCATTTTTCAAAAAAATGTCACTTATCACTGCACTTGTGCGCTACGCCATCGATATATAATATTACAATTAAATTATGAAAATGTACCTATTAATATTATGCTAATTAATGTATTTTTACCCCACCTGAACTAACATTATTTGCCTATACTATACGCCGGGTTATACCTAGGTTGGCGCTAAGTATTTAAAACAATATATTATTAATCTTTATATTTTATACATATTACCTATACACTCTATTTATTATTATTTAAACCTATTTTAGTGTAGTTTATACCCTAGATATAGGTATTACAGGTATTTTACAACTATTTATACTCCTGCCACGAGAGTCCGACAGACCGACCTATGTGTTTGGTTTTACTTTCTTGATTTTTAATCAAGTAAGTATGGTAATTGAATGAAAAAAGACTGAATTTTGAAAACTTCTAGAATTTGTGTTAAATAGGAAAATAATTAAAATACAACTCAGTAATGATGAGTAGGTGGGTAATTATTAGCTAGCTTTAATATAAAATATTAATAAGAGAGATTTGATATCACATCCAAGCGGTATAACCACTTGGATCAATAAAAACGTCGGCGTAAACAGTCCAAACATATCTATTTTTTTAACTTTTCTCCTAAACTATGATAGCTAGAAAGTTAGTTGATAACTAATTATTAAAAAGGGATTATCAAGTATATTCTAAATGTGGAATTAATATTTTTTTTAAATTATTTAATTTTTGACAGATAAAAAAAGTTATTTTTCTTTAGATTTTCATTTAGCGAGGTAGATTTCCAAAACTGGAGAACGGATTTTGTTGTTTGAGGTCTTGTTAGATTCACATTGGCTAGGAGAAGTGAAGTGAAGATTTTCAGAACTTTATCTCCAATCGTTAATTGACTACAAAGCTGTAAAGCTGAAAAACATCAAAAAACGCCCAATAAAATTTTTTTAAATTTTTTTTATGTTCTGTAGTGAATTAACTATTAAAGATAAAGTTCTAAAAATCTTCACTGCACTTCTCCTAACCAATGTGAATCTAACAAGACCCCAAACAACAAAATCCGCCCTCCGGTTTCGGAGATCTATCTCACAAAATGAAAATGATTTTTTGTGGAGCTGTTCACACCGACATTTTTCTGGATTCAAATTGTTATGCCACTTGGGTGTGATATCAGTTAATAAATTTCTAAAAATTAAAAACCAAGAAAGATTACATGCCGATCCCTGACTTGGCAAGCGTATTTTTTCGTTGAAAAACCAGATAGCTGTAGCTCCGTAGGTTTTTTTTTGTCTCTTGACAACTTGAAAAGTTTTGAAAAATGGAGTTGTCTTATTTTTGTACAGACCCCTTCAATTACTATAGTCCTGGAGTCATTTGTTGAGATAAGAGAAAAACTGGTTAAGCACTATAAAAACGATGTTACAAGATGCCAAGATTGGAAGCAACTACTTCATATTGGTAATAGGTACTAAACTAATATTAATCGGCAACTAACCCAAGATATTTTTATTCAAAGGGCCCTAAATAAATAAATACACTTAAATAAATACACAGCAAATAGCGTTTGATATTTTGGGGAGCTGAACCCCATCGAGGAAAAAAAATCCCAAAAGCTATACCAGCTAAAAAAGGATTTTTTTCCAATTACCATTTACCACTATAATAATTCTAGACTTATTATATAGTACATTTTGGACTCCAAAAATAACAAAAAAAATATGTATCACAATTTATAGCTATGGTAATTTATGGGTAGGGAATGTATACGTTCGACCCTATTAAACATTACACAGTGCAATCGTAACATTATTATAACAATATGTGTGATGCTAGTTTTGAAATTCAGGAGAAAAGATTTTCACTCTAAAGAAAGTGAACAGCAAGGTGGTTAAAGTTAAAATTTCTTGCATATTTTCGTAAATGTTGTTGAATTTCGTAAAAATTTGAAATTTAAAGTTTAAACGCTTATCCAAAAAAATTGATTAAATATTTTCGATATTTTGTAATTTCTGTAGGAACAACTTATGAGGTAGGTACTTTGTATTTCACTAAAAATGTTATTATGCTTAAAACGAATAAAAATAACATTATTTTATTTTATTTTATTTATTTTATTTATATATTTCAACGCCTAACGGCAATTAACAGAGACAAATACATAAATATTGGTAAGTGTTAGATAACAAATTGTATAAATAAAAAACAATATAAGTATTATATAGCTTAAGTACTGATAAAACATGAAAAAATAAAAAAAAAATATATATAATTAATATACATATTATGATATTATTATTATTAAGTAAGAACAAAATGTTGTGTGGTCCGTGTCTAAGATTTATTTTACTCATCACTTTTGACTAAAATTCCAAAAGTCTTGTGTCTAAATTAATTTTAGTCATAATTCTTTGGATAGGGTCATTGCAAAGATAATTTGTTCTACGAGTACTGATTTCAAACATTATTTTACTGCGGGACCCGTTTCTGGGTATATGAAATTTAACCCTTTCGAGTAGACTGCTTGCATCGGTCTTCCCCAAAACTAAATTATTTAAGAATCGTATATCTAGCATATTTCTTCTAATTTCAAGGTTAGATAAGTTTAAAAATTTCGATACTGATGAGTAATCATGAGGAGGGTGAGTAATTTTTAAAACATACCCAGCAAACGCAAAAAATCGGTTTTGAACCTTTTCAATCCTTTGGATGTCTTTCTGAGTGTAGGGGGACCATAAAACAGAGCCGTATTCTAAAATTGACCTCACCAATGATGTATATAATGTTACTAAGCAATTAGCTTGATCAAAGTTCGACGCATTCCGGCGAATAAAACCCAGTGTACGTAGCGCTTTGCAATTGATATGCTCAACATGAATACTAAAAGATAAGGATGGTACTAATGTGAATCCTAAATCTTCTACTTGGTCTACTCGGGGCAAGCATTCATTATACATTAAGTAATCAAAATTGATATAACTATGTGTTCTGAAAAATGTCATTACCTTGCATTTATTGAAGTTTAACGAAAGTCCAACCAAATTACACCAGTCAACCAGTTTGAATATAGAATCTTGCAGTGCAATACAGTCTTCTGGAGTTTGTATTTTATAAAATATTTTTGCATCATCAGCAAATAGAAGTATTCTACAGGGTGATATAATCTTTGATATAGTGTTAATAAAAATATTAAATAATAGCGGTGAGAGGTGTCCACCTTGGGGTACACCAGAGGTTGCCTTAACGTTCTCCGATTTATTATTCAGCAAATCAACAAATTGAAATCTATCATCGAGGTATGATTGAATCCATGATAATAATGGATTTCCCACACCCAACTTATCCAAAATAAGTATTAATGTTTTATGATTGACTGTGTCAAATGCTTTTGAAAAATCAGTATATATGACATCAACTTGTTGGTGGAGTTCAAATGCATCTAAGACATATGTAGAAAAGTCAACCATATTAGTGACCGTGGATCGACCTTTTATAAAACCGTGTTGATCATTGGACAGTACCACATTAAATTGTCTTTCGATTGTCTTTAGAACTAAGAATTCGAGTACCTTACCAATTAGAGGTAACCCCGAAATTGGACGATAATTAGTAATATCAGTTGGGTCTCCTGATTTGAAAATTGGTGTGATTTTGCTTATTTTCCAAATGTCAGGGAAAATACCTTGCTGGAGAGATTTATTAAATAATATTAGTAAGGGAGTGTTTAAGGCTTCACGACATTGGAAAAGCAGATATGCTGCTATCCCATCTGGTCCTTTGCTATCAGATTTAGATAAGCTATTTAATCCTTCCGAGATATCGTCCAGTGAAAGAGACACTTTAGAAGGCAAATGAGAATACTGACTTATCGAGAGGTTATCTAGATAAATTGGTTTTGTATTAGGTGTTTTATAAACGGAAGAGAAATACGAAGCGAAGAATGCCGAAATCTGAGGGCCTGAAACATGTGTATTTTCTATATGCATTTCTTCGGGGATGCTTAAGCATTTTCCTTTATTTCGTACATAGTTCCAGAATTTAGTTGGGTTGGATGTTAGACTAATTTGAGTGTTTTTTATATGCTCATTGAGAAATTTTTTTGAAGCCGATTTATGATAACTTAACTGTCTTAATTATTTGATTTAAACGGGTGACTCAATTTAAAACTGACTTGTTATTTATACTCGTAAAAAAAATAGTACCTATCTAAGTAAATAAAAACCACGAGTAAGTTACTAAGTTAGAAAGTTAAAATCGATTTTTCTTTGATTTAATAACTCGTTAATGACTATAGATATTGGGTAGTTGCAGGGTTATAAATTATAATTTATTATAGTAGTTATCACGCCGAGGACTCCAAACAATACTACAGTAGGTACATATATTACGAGTACCTTCGTCGCTTAAATTACGAGTGCATATCTTATTATTTAGGTAATTACTATCACATCGAGATATCTCGAAGACAAAAAGATTAATAGGTACACCATATCAGTACGGTTGTGGGCACATAACATATATTATAGCAATGAATAGTGATGTCGGTCATTCAACCACAGACAATAAGTCGAGTGGATGCCAAATCATTTTCAACCTAATATTATTAAGTCATTTAATTTCCTTTACTCCCCTCCCTCATTAGTGTAATTACTAAACCATATATTTTCTTTATCAAAATCAAGTTCTTTTAAAAATCTCTCCTTGTACTTTGTACACGTCATTGCACGTACTATGATATAGTATCCAGAAGGTACCTACATATTTATCGTACCTAATAGAACAATTATTATTGTGACCTCTTATTAACTTATTATTAGTGAAGTGTAACATGTCGACGCCACGTGGTGTACGAGCGCACACGTAAGGCGAAGGCGGTAGCAGTTAATTTTTTCACGATGACAGACGATGCACGCACACACGCACTGGTCTAAAAGTAAAAACCAACTAGTCTTATACATCAGTAAAGGGGAAAAATAACAACAACGACGATGGCATCAATATTTCAATTCGCATACGAAACTTTAGGCCGTTATAGGGTGTACCAACTCGGAATTACGACGAAATGCGAGTGCGAAAGCCTTCTATAATTGTATATAATTAAGACCGTGATAGTTGTAATATACCTAATACAAAATGCACAATGCACATTGAATTTAAATGTTATGTTTATATGCTATATACATATAGGTACCTAGCTTACTAGTTTGTTACACAACCACAATGCACTCATTGCACATTTGCACTCTCTCTATCTATTCGTGATGCACTATACATTTTTTTTATGGATTCGCTTTATGAGTATTGTTATTCGTTGGGCTTAGGATGTACAATTTCATCGTTTGTTTTGGCACTCGTGTTCTCAATAAGACAATTCTTTAAATTTCTAGCGACACGGGCTTTAAACACACGATATTTATTATAATAATTATTATTTGTATAGACAAGATGATAATATAGGTAATAATGATAATATAGAGAGGTCTGCGTGTACCGTGCAAAATCGTCGACAGTTTAAAAACGCAATTTTTTCGAATAAGTAGGTATTAATGTTATTTTATATAACTGTTATAATAAAACAATGGGTAATTTTTAAATGTGATAAAAAAAATTATAAGATTAAATAAAAATCGATTATATATAACTTATGAATAACCTTGTGTAGATTTCCAATAATGAATAAAACATGATTATTTTTTAAATATTATATTTCATAAAATGTAAATACGTATTAATTATAAATTAATAATTAATGTAGAATGCATGTCGTTAACCACCGTATGAAAATAATAATTTTCGATTCTGAGCTGAGCAATGGATTTTTTATTGGTTCTACAATGATATGTGTGGTTTTTTTTAAATTGTAGTTGTGTCGGTCATCGCTTATTGGAGTACCTAATTAAAATATTATTCAACTTTGAGGGTGGTTTCTGAGAGAAAATTGAATCTAGTTAGTGAAAAATGTCCTGTGCTTTTCAAAATATTCAGAAAACCAAAACAAAAAGATTTTCAAAAAAATTTAAGATTATGATGACGGACGTGTTTAGGTTGCCCCTGATATTCAGAGTCCGTAGATACCACATATACTCAATGCAACCGGTGGTCGACCACCACGTCCGGAACCATTTACACGTTTAACGTATTATAAGGAAGTTATGGTCGTGAAGTGCTTGACCAGTACAGCTCTAACCTCAACCTCTTCCTCTCTAGCATGTATGTTTGACATTTGCAGTGTCCTTGCGAACGGTGGTTGTGTTGTATAAGTTGATGTGTGCGTAACCTTGATTTGACGCATCTCACAATGTTCTACCTACTCCACCGCTCATAAAAATGTCCTTACACCACGTTTTTTATTCACAGTTTTAGTCCGATGACTGAATGCAGTCACAAAACGAACCTAAAATAACCTACAATCAACCTAATATTGTGTCTCAGTGGCGTACACGAAAGTTTTGACCGTGGTCGGATAGAGTCGATGATGTTTGTCAGTCTATGCCCTCGTGATTCTGAACTCTGTAGTCTAGTTACCCAACTCGGACAGTGGGATTGATCAAATGCCAGACATCCATCAACAACTGCAGGGTGACCCGACGGACCCAACCACTGGAAAAAATGTATCCAGGTCAACTGTCTGCTCAACGACACTTGAATGATCGCTGCCAGATGGACCGAAGGAAAGATTTTTCCATGCTCCACAGTGTTGTATGGTTGTTTGCATGATCATGTACCCGTCCCGGCGTTCTGGTCATTGGCGTCCATCCAGCGTCCTTCGACAAGGTCAGGTACGAGCAACACTCGCAGTGCCGCAAAAATAGGGTAAGCAAGGTATGCATTGCATTCCCTGGCCAGATTTTATTTTTAAATGGGGGCCCATCGACAAAAGAAAAAAAAAAAATTTATTATTCGAAACAAAAAGAAAATATACCATTTATAATAGCAATCTATTATTTTAGAAATATGATGAACATAAGGCTAATTTGTTGTCTCTGTCTTACAAGTACGTAACATAGCAAATTGTACGCTCAGCAGTACACGTGTAACTTCATTAGTTTATAAATTAGAGCAAATTGACCTCTCATAAAATCTAAAGGTGAGAATATATTATCGCGAGTTATGAGTATTTTAAAATTAATTGTTTATACATCTTAAAATACTCATAACTCACTTTAAAACTAAAATATATTAAAATGCCCATGTGGCTGCCTAGATAATAATCTTACCTTTAGATTTTATAAGAGGTCAATGAGCTCTAATTTTTAAATTAACGGAGCTACATATGTTCTGCTGAGCGTAAAATTTGCTATGTAACGCACTTGTAAGACTGAGACAACACGTCATGCGAGTATCGCGTCCACTTAATATAACCAACATTACTATAATGCTTGAAAAAATGTTAATATTTGGGGGCCATAAATATTGCCTTGCATTAGAGGTCTACCAAAGGTTAATTGTAGCACTTACTTTTTTTCGTTATATTGGAGTATAAGTATACTAGGCTATAGGGGCGAGGGGCCCCTTAAAATGTTTCGCATCAGGGCTCCACAAAACCTAGTTGCGGCACTGAACACTCGGTCCAGTTTTTTCTGTTGTTCTCGGTTTTGAGGAAATACAGCCCTGCAGCTTTCGTGTGCGCATATCTGATCTTAAATTTCCTCCCACATCATTCACATTAAATGACAAATACGTCGTTTAGACTTGAACACACATATAATATATTATAAAGTAGATTTATTGGTAGTTTTGTTAGAATCCATACGGTATTGATTTGTTTCAGAATTTTGTGTTCTCAATAATGCTATTCATAAAACAATTACTTACGACATGATTTATATCATAATATAGGTAAATGTACATATTTTTATGGGCAAACGCTAAATTTGTGAACCGTACACATTTTCCGAAAGTTTAAAAACATAATTGTATCGTGTAGGTCAGGCTTGTGTGGTGTATACAGTTATAGGTGGGGAGCCTGTTGATGTATTTTATGATGTTATATTATGGTTTA